TCCTTTACTGTCTGCAGTTAGCATGTAGAGAGAGAGCAATAAGCAGAGAAGGACAATGTTTTTTTTTTCACTCTAGAAAGCCCTACATGACATTTATCATTTGAATTTCAAGTTTTGTCAGAATTTAGACATTGAAACTTAAGAACATTCCTGTTTATGACTAAAATGAACCTAGGTTTTCTACTGTCTACCAAAGTCCAGAAAAGTCATGAGTTTTCCACTATTTTCTTAGGAGAGCAGGAAAAGATATTAAAGGAAAGTTGTGTTACTGTCATGATGGTATATTGAGAGTCCTGCTTGTTGAAAGGAAAGATCATATATTTTATAAAATGCTATATTCACTATGTTCCCATTTCCCTTCCTCAAATAAGTAAATGCTGGATTAAAAAAATAAAGAAACTCTGCTGTGCATTGAGTAAGATCAATCTTGGAAGTAACAATGCACTTTACCATGGTTTCATGAACATTCAACAAACATGCATATTCTCCCACATTGTTCAAGAGAGTATAGGTCATTAAATCGTGAAAGTCTATGCAAATAATTTTCTTTGAAGTTTTCTATTAATAGCATATCTGCATTTTGTAGCTTTGAGTCGATAATATTTTTTTAAAGATTTTATTTGAAGGCACTCCAGAAAAGAAAGGTGTATGCTAAAAAAATTAAAGAGCACAATTAAATAGATTTCTAGGTTTCACTGATTCATGTTAATGTTTGATAAAAACATATCATCCTCCAAGTGAAAGAAAATAAAAAGTTTTAGAGGTAAATACACTAGGGTTGACCTGCCATTCAACACATTTCTTATAGCTTTTGGCTCTTATTTTGTCTTGCAAGCTCTGGAGTAAGTTGACCTATCATTTTCTAACATGCACTAAACTCTATTCACAAGAATATAAAGTTCCATTCCAGAAAAGAAAGTTTTACATGATGGATTATAATTTGTAAAGAAAAACCTCCATGCTATTTTAATGAGTACTTGAAAGTGATATCATGTGAAAAGCAGTGCTATGGGAGTAAAAAATAGCAGAAAAGTAGCAGAAGTTTCTTTTTCTGTCATTTTTTTTTCTGGCATTGGTTATTGAGGTAAGAGTTGCTTTTCTACTGAGCTATAGCCCCTGTCCTTTTATTATTTTTTATTTTGAGATAATGTTTTACTAAGTAGCTGAGGGTCTTTCTAAATTGCCAAGGCTGGCCTCAAAGTTGTGATCTTCCTGATTCAGCTTCCTGAGTAACTGGTATTATATGCATACACACTGTGACAGGCTATGGAGAAAAGCATAATTATTTTATTATTCAACTAATAATTTGTATCAATTTTATTTTGGGGAGTACTGAGAATTGAACTCAGGGCGTATGACTACTAAGCCACACTCCCAGCCCTATTTTGTATTTATTTTATTAGAGACAAGGTCTCACTGAGTTGCTTAGTGCCTCCTTTTGGCTGACTTTGAACTGGAGATCCTCTTGTCTCAGCCTGCAGAGCAGCTGGGATAACAGACATGCACCACTATGCCCAGACTGCATTAATGATATCTTAAAGAGAAATATATAAGTGTCATGCATTGTCTTTGGTAGATAGTTTACCTCTTAGAAATAATAAAATAAGAGTACTAAGAGTGTTTAAAATCCTATTTTACGGACTACTTAACATAGAAATTTGTAAAAAGTCAATTTACAAGTCTATTTATCACTAGTACCAGTATACTAACCCAACTATTTCTCCTTACTTCCTTTCACTAATTTCTCTTTTCAATTTGAACTCAGGTATACTATAATAAGGGGAATTATGGAAGTCTTCTACTTCTGACTTTTTGTGAGAAACTCCGTCATCTTTAAATACATCAAATTATCTTTTTAACAAAATATTTTTAAATGACAATAAATTTTAAAGATGATTTAAATTTTTATCTAAAAGTACTCCATAGATCAATACTTTTCTTCATTTTTCACAAGAATGTTATATTTTCTGGTTGAATGTATATATATATGAAAAACTGATAATAAACAGCAGAGCATTTTTTTTCAAACATATTCTTCCACTTCCAGGCAGACACTATGGTGGAAGTAGAAAAAAAAATGGAATAAAACTTTTTCCTGACTTTGAAAAGCTGACAATTCAGGATGAGACTCTGACATGTAAATACATGATTCACAGTATGTTAGGTTCTGCTACCAAGAATGAATAATAGGTTATTTTAAGACATGTTGTTTGGCAGTGCCTGGAGAAATTGGAAAGAGTTTTAAAATGGAAGACAATTTAAATTGGTAAGAAATGAGGTGAAACAAGTATATTGTAGCACATTCATGAAATAAAAGTGACTGAAAGATAAAATACACCATTTCAAATTCCATATTTTCTGAAGCCTTAGGCTTGGTATGATCCTGTAGCACAGTGCTGGACATGTAACAGCTTCTCAATAAATGGCTGAATACTGAAAGTTTCCAGAGGAAGTGGGATCAGGAAATGCTGATGTCTCATCCTGCTCTTACATCTCAGCATATCAATATACAAAATTTGACTTCCTATAGAAAAACCTGCAGCTTCAAGTCTGTGGCTCTACTAAACTCACAAAAGGTGAAAAATAAACCAAGTGGTAAAAGGAAAGGAATCCCAATCTCTCCCATCCAGCCCCAAGAATATCCCTTTACTTTGATGGGCACTGAGTATATCCTCAGACTCCAAGCACAGCCTCCTAGAAAAAAATCCTTGTGTATACAATTTCTATGTAAAGATTAGCTGAAGAGTAAGATAAAAAAAATCATGTATCTTGAGTTTAATTCTAAAAATATACATACATGTTATATAGGTAAAGGAGGCAAACAAAAATGAAAACAATTATGCCAGTAAAAGGAATAATGTAATTTTTATCTTATGTTATAGTTATGGAACCCATTATCTATGAAATTTCTCTCAAACCCTAAACACTTCACAGAACAATAATTTCAGAAGTTCAAGGCTATTGTTCCATTCTTTAGAGAATTATTATTTTGCAGAACCCAGATGGTGAATGGGACACCATGGCTCCATATGATCTGTGTAACAGTGACAAAGTCATCACATCCCTATCAGAATTTAAGCTTCTATTTTTACTTATCCATTCCTTTATCATCTAGAGTTATCCTGCTAGGTTTTATACTCATATCACCTGGCCTATCACACATGCGAAACATTTAATAAAGTTAAAATGAAGGAATAAGTGCCTAAGACGGTGATATGCATTTTGAGGTAATCTTTTAGCCAATGAAAGATAAAAAAAACTTCAGATATTGACCACATGTCAAAATATCAAGCTAAATATGTGCTAGTGCAGAAGTTGGCAAAGTTTTGCTATAAAGAGATAAACAGTAAACATTCTAAATGTTAAGGGCCAGACTATACTCTGCAAATCCTCTACCCTGCCATTGTAGTATAAAAGCATTCACAAGCAGTAAGTAAAAAATTAGGTATGTTCATGTTCCCTAAAGCTTTATTTATAGAAATACACACAGTGGGCAGGAATTGACCTGTGGTTTCCCAACCCCCATTTTACACAACTGCTCATTTTGCACAATTTTCTTGAAAATATGAGTAAGATATAAATCTTTAAAATAACTACATATCAATAAATATTTAAAAAGCAAAATTAATATTAGCCCTACAAATTTTTAAAAAAGGAAAAATTTTGAATAAGTTATTTACTTGTTGTAAAATGATCAGAATACAGTTTTTAGTCCATGTGTTGATATAGAGGTGTACATAAACTTATACAAGATATCAGTGAATCATATAGTCTATTTTCATTAAAAACAGCATTGCTATGTAGAAGAAAGGTATAAAGAGGATAGAAATGAGACAGGAAGGAATAGACAAGAGGGACAGGGAGAAAGGGGAGGAAAAGAATGAGGAAGAGCTCAGCTAAGTGTTACCACTTCAGGTTTTATATCTGCACTCAAGATGTATTTTCCTGTGAAGACTCACATTTTTTAAATAACTATTTTATATTATAATACTAAAGCTTAACAATTTTATAGCCCTGATATTTATACAATTTGTATAGAAAGTTTCCAACTTTTTTTTTTCAAAAAAATGGAAGAAAATAACTACTGCTATGATATAAAACAGCTTTAGGAAAAAAAGTCTGCCTTTTCCAATCAATCACGTATATGGCAAATCATTTTAACTAATAAACACAAAACGTTTCAGGTACAAAGTACCAGCTGCAAGAATTTATTGGTTGCTTTGGCTACATACACATAATGGGTTTGACGCATGGGCAGCAAAATTTAATGTTAGAAGTAAACAGTACATTCTCCTTTCTTCTCCTGCTTGTTTTTTTAGATTTGACTGAGGACAGAAGAAATGTCACTCTAATGACAGTAATTGTTGGCTAATGGCAAGCATGCCATCATATTAGCCTAAATGTCCATTTAAAACTAAACTTTTATGTGATTTGCCCAAATATTAAGGCTATTAGTTGAAACATGGAATTGATTTATTTTACCCATTGCATTAACCTCATCTTGCAAACTCATCAGTTTCTTATACAGGGCACAGTAAATGCACCTTGATGTTTTATAAAATTGAATTGAACATCAAGCTATTCACTTTTAAAAGCTGCACATTACTATAATAACAAGAGGGTGGCCAAGTCTGCAAAATCTTCATTACTAGCGACTAAATGAAGCCTCAGTAATAGAGTCCTCATGTAAAATGAATTCCATGTCACTACATACCAAATGTAATTAGTATCAAATAGGCTTTATTTTGATGGGGTTATAGGTTCTTCGATTCATTAAACCAAGAGGCAGGCACTTTTTAACCTAGCTAAAGGAAATTAGAAGCAGATTTGCCACTTTACAAAACTTAATTTTTTAATTGACAATGAGAAAGTATTTTACCTGACAGAACATTAATAAGTCCAATGGATATAAACCATTGAAATTAAAAATACAAAGTGTATATTTAGCAATAAACATATATTAAAAAGATGTATATCCAATAAAAAATGTTTATACTCACAAATAAAATCTAAGCTCTGTAATATAAATTGAGGATTTGATAGTATGCAGTCAACTCCTTGACGAATTACAGTGTTTTTAGGCATGAGCTGTGATTAGAAAAAAAGGTTAGCCTTCATCAATCCAGTCCTAATGCTATAAGTTTTAGAGCAAAATTTCTTATTTTAAAATTCTCCTTACACTTACAGCAATAATCTTACTTTTTTATAAATTCATTCATTCTTCATTCATAACCTAGTCCATTTATTCATGCAGACACACTGTCACAGACACCGTGTTCAAGGAGCTCAGCATACCTGTATAGATACAATTTAGATACAATTTTTTATTACTTTTTTATTTGTTTTAATTAGTTATACATGACAGTAGATAGAATGTACTTATGCACTTTGATATATCATACACAGATGGGATATAATTGCTCATTTTTTTTTGAGTGTACATATTGCAGAGTCATATTGATCATGTAGTCATATATATAAATACAGTAATAAAGTCTGTTTCATTCTACTACTTTCCTATCCCCACATCTCTTCCTACCCTTTCCCCTCCCTTCACTTCACTCTACCTAATCTAAGGTAATACTTTTCTTTTCTAGTGTCCCCCACCTTATTGTGAATTAACATCCACATATTAGAGAAAACATTCGGCCTTTGGTTTTTTGGGGATTGGCTTATTTCGCTAAGCATGATATTCTCCAACTCCATCCATTTACTGGCAGATGCCATAATTTCACTCTTCTTTAAAGCTGAGTATTATTCCATTTAGTATATATACCACAGTTTCTTTATCCATTCATCAATTGAAGGACAGCTAGGTTGGTTCCATAGTTTAGCTATTGTGAATACAGCTGCTATGAACATGGACGTGGCCTCATTACTGTAGTATGTTGATTTTAAGTCCTGTGGGTATAAATCGAGGAGTGAGACAGCTGGTGATTCCATTCCCAGTTTTCCAAGGAATATCCATTCTGCTTTCCATAGTGGTTGCACCAATTTGTAGTCCCACCAGCAATGTATGAGTGTGTCCTTTCCCCCACATCCTTGCCAACATTGTTTCCTGTATTCTTGATGGCTGCCATTCTGAGAGTAGTGAGATGAAATCTTAGAGTAGTTTTGATTTGTAATTTTCTAATTGCTACAGATGTTGAACACTTTATCATATATTTGTTGATCAACTGTACAGTTTCTTGCCTTAGGAGTCTTGTTAAGGAAGTCAGATCCTAGGCCCACCTGGTGAAGATTTGGGCCTACTTTTTCTTCAATTAGGCACAGGGTCTCTGTTCTAATGCCTAAGCCACTGATCCACTTTGAATGCATTTTTGTGCAGGGTAAGAGATAGAGGTTTAGTTTCATTTTGCTATGTATGGATTTCCAGTTTTGCCAGCACCATTTGTTGAAGAAGCTATCTTTTCTCCAGTGAAATTTTTTGGCACCATTGTCTAGTATGAAATAACCAAATTTATGTGGACTTGTCTCTGTGTCCTCTATTCTACAAGTCTATTTTGGTGCCAAAACCATGCATTTTTGTTACCACAACTCTGTAGTATTGTTTAAGGTCTGGTATTGTGATGCCTCCTGTTTTACTTTTTCTTACTAAGGATTATGTTAGCTATTCTAGGTCTCTTATTTTTCCAAATAAATTTCATGATTGCTTTTTATATTTCTATGAAGAATTTCACTTGGATTTTAATAGGAATTGCATTAAATCTGTATAATGCTTTTAGTGGTATGGCCATATTGATAATATTAATTCTGCCTATCCAGGAGCATGGGAGATCTTTCCACATTCTGTGGTTTTCTTCAATTTCTTTCTTTAGTGTTCTGTAATTTTCATTGTAGAGGTCTTTCACTACCTTTGTTAGATTGACCCCAGATTTTTTCTTTTTTTTTTCCTTTTCCTTTTCTTTTCTTTTTTTTAAGGCTATTGTGAATGGAGTAGTTTTTCTAATTTCTCTTTCAGTGGATTCATTGCTGATGTATAGGAATGCATTTTATTAATGGGTGTTGGCTTTATATCATGCTACTTTGCTAAATTCATTTATTAGTTCTAGAAGTTTTCTGGTGGAATTTTTGACTCTTCTAGATATAGAACCATGTCATGAACAAATAGTGATAAGTTAAGTGCTTCTTTACCTATTTGTATCCCTTTAATTTCTTTCTTTTGTCTAATTGCTGTGGCTAGAGTTTCAAGGATGATGTTGAATAGAAGTGGAGAAAGAGGACATCCTTGTCTTGTTCCAGATTTTGGAGGGAATGTTTTCAACTATTCTCCATTTAGAATGATGCTGGCCTTGGGGTTAGTATATATAGCTTTCACAAGTTGAGGTATGTTATTATTATCCTTAGTTTTTCTAGTATTTTGAATATGAATGTTTACTGTATTTTTTCAAATTCTTTTTCTGCATCTATTGAGATGATCATATGATTCCTGTTTTTAATTATCAACCTGATAAATTACATTTATTGATTTCAGGATGTTGAACCAACATTGCATCCCTGGGATGAACCCCACTTGATTGTGGTGCACTATCTTTTTAATATGTTTTTGTATGCAATTTTTCAGAATTTTATTGAGAATTTTTGCATCTATGTTCATCGAGGATATTGGTCTGAAATTTTCTTTCCTTGATGTGTCTTTGTCTGGATTTAGTACCAAGGTGATACTAGCCTCATAAAATGAGTTTGGAGGGGTTTCCTCCTTTTCTATTTTATGGAATACTTTGAGGAATACTTTGAAAGTCTTATAGAACTCAGCTGAGAATCCATCTGGTCCTAGGCTTTTCTTGGTTGGTAGGCTTTTGATAGTGTTTTCTATTTCATTACTTGTAATTGATCTGTTTAAATTATGTATGATCTTCTCATTCAGTTTGGGTAGGTCATATGTTTCTAGAAATTTGTCAATGTCTTCTATATTTTCCATTTTATTGGAATATAAGTTTTCAAAATAGTGTCTAATTATCTTCTGTATTTCAGATGTGTCTGTTGTGATATCTCCTTCTTCATCTTGTATTTTAGTAATTTGAGCTTTTTCTCTTTGTTAGCATGGTCAGGGGTTTATCTCTTTTATTTACTTTTAAAAGAACCAACTTTTTGTTTTGTCAATTTTTCCAATTGTTTCTTTTACTTTGATTTCATTGATTGCAGCTCTGATTTTAATTATCTCCTATCTTCTACTGTTTTTGGTGCTGATTTGTTATTATTTTTCTAGGGCTTTGAGATATACTCTTAGGTAATTTATTTGTTGACTTTTTATTATTTTAATGAATGCACTCAATGCAATAAACTTTCCTCTTAGTACTACCTTCATTGTGCCCCAGAGATTTTTAAATACAATCTTACAGGTAAAGGAAGAAATGAAACTAACAAATTAGAGTCACAAAATTGAAACAGGATGGATCCAGAAAGATAATTTAAAAAAAGACAGTTGAAGATAGTGTTTGGAAAACATTCACATTCTCAGGAGGGATATAAGGGTGCATATCAACAACAGGAGGAAAAAAATGAAGGAGGCAGGAAAAGGAAATGACAAATCAAGGAATTTTGCATTTTGAAAGGTACACGTTATGCACAATTTCTGAATAAAGTTTCATTATTGCTTTAATGAAATTTATTGCTTAAAAAAGGATAATAGTGTTAATAAGTTTCAACATGATGTAAGGTCCCTGGCAATTCAATTATTGCCTTATATCATTTGGATGAATATACTTAACAATATTCCTGGTAATCATTAGTACTGAAAAAATTAAGTTAATGTTGACTTAATGTTTACTATTAAAATTTTAGCAGGCCAAGAAAAGTCTCAGAAATTACATTATTATTCTTAACTTATTATCTTTAATAAACTTCATAGTAGAGGTTGACTGCAGTATTATGCCACATCCTTCTCCAGATCTTAAACTGTCTGGGTGAAAATGGGTGAGAAACATTTAAAACTGCTGTTACCTTTCTTAACTATAATCCTATCTTTACATAATTTCTTGATTAATCAGTTCTAGCCTTCATGTATGTGTCTCTGCCCTGAATGATAAGAATATGTTCATTTGGGTCATTCATCAATTGTTCTGTCTTACTTCCCCACAATGAGTTCATATTCACTTATTACTGACATTCTTGGTTATTTTGCAATTTAAATTATATTCTTAAATTTCTGCTTCTTATCCATCAGTTTTAGCTATTAACACCAAGCGCACTGTCTCCTTTCCCTTGCCCCTCATCTCCTTCATTCTCTACCACAAATCTATTAACTATGCCTTTACTTTTACACTATCAAAACTGAAAGCTTTATGTTTTTCTCTCTTTGTTTTATATGTAAGTTGAGTGAAAGAGACTGTAGGTAACCATTTAGAAACTGTAGTCTCTCCTAGAATTTGCAGGTCACAGTGAACTGGAGTATGACTCAGGACTGGAAAAATCTAGAATGCTGGCTTCTGAGGGGGTAAGCTTCCCTGAGCAATCAGCCAACCCATGTTTGGGCAAGAGAGGGATCAGATTTATTTGTAATATTACTATTCTCTGGAAATATTAGTAATTTAAGAGTGTTCTCTCTCTCACTTTCTTCACCCAAATGTGTGTGTGTATGTGTGTGTGTATATATGTGTGTGTGTGTGTGTGTGAGTGTGTGTGTGTGTGTGTGTGTGTGTATGTTTGTTCAGATGACTTATTTGAAAAAGACTCAGCGTTATGGAGAGTACCCTGAGTTTGACATGCAGTTAGGAAAAATAACCCTTCAAGATGAGTTCAGAATGTTATGGGAAGGAAAACAAATTAATCTATCTCGACTTATTTAATCTATCTATGGGTTACAACAATAACACTAATGTTAGAGTACAATTATCTAATTCATAAATGCCAGAAATATCACTGTCATATATAAATAAGTATTATATGGAGAGAGAACATGAGAATTTCCAAGAGGAGTTCTTTTAAAAATATGTATGGGACTGTGGTGTTGGTCAGTAAGTGAGTGCATGCTTAGCATAGACAAGGCACTGTGTTCAATCTAAAATGCCAAAAAATAAATAAATAAAATTTAAAAAATGGATGAGGGTTTGTTTCACCCCAAAATGTATCCTACTGGTTTCAAAGGATG